TAAAGGTAAATTAACTTTTTTTTAGACATGTATTGTTTAATTTTTTTTATCTAAAGCGATCTTTAAGAGTTGAATTGAGCGTAAAGAGTTCGGTTGCTCGTCGCCATGTTTTGGCGGGATTCATTCTCAACAATTTAGCTTCAAGTTGAACGATTTATTGCTTGAAAAAACTTCAATGTCCTGAGTTATTTGTGCTTTAATGCTTCATTTGAGATTTTGCGAAGTTTGCCGGTAATTTGTCTATATTTTGTATGAAGTATTGAATTTTACGGCCTCATCAAACGGACTGTTTCATTTAGAGAAATCCAAGGTAAAAACTGCAAAATAATGATTGTTTTAAGCTCAGCGATCGATGATATTCTTTCGAAAACCTTAAAGTATTATTCTCCAAAGTCTAATACAAGAGAGAACATGTGTAATGAAGTAACACGCTTGGACTCTTCTGAATAAAATTATTTTGAACCATAACTACATTTGATAGTTTTTTCCATTGAATTTTGCCCTATATATGATAAACGGGCAATCGTATGGTTCCTCGTACAAGTAATCCTTAATTTTACTCGCCGCCATGCGATTACCTATACTAATTTTTAGTCATCATTGGCCCATTCAAAGCAAAATAGATTGTTTTATTGAATAACAATCAAATAAAATTGTTCAAGTTACTTTACTTTGAAACAAATATGTAAAAAATAACACCAAAACCAACAATTGTTTACATTAAGGAATGCAATTCTAATGGAGTTTTATGTATCACTTTTGATTCTTCATAGCTTGTTGTTGATGGCATCTTAAAATTCACTATACGGGATTGTCTTGGAGAAAGGGAAAGCACCACATTTTTTAATCTTCTTGATTTTTGAGCAATGCATGTGATTATATTCAAGACAAGAGAGAACTAGATAGCCTGCATATTGAAGTTAATGTTGTTTGCACAAAGATTGAGAGATAATCCTATTACCATTCAGGTATGTCCTTGTTCCCCACTTTTGTCATTGCTTGCATGCACATTACTTTTCTAGTGTATACAATATAAGGTGTCCGATTAAATTAAGGTTTAATATGTACATCATAATATATGCATACATACATACATACGACCCTCAAAGGTCCATGCTTTTGCTTTGGTCTTTGTTGGAAACTTGTACTGTTATCACTCCCAATCGGTAGACAGGGTCCTTAGTATATGTCTCAAGCTTGAGCTTTGTCTTCCTCAAGGGCAATTCCTTGAATTTGGCATCATATATTTCCTTGGTGATTACCGAAACAGCAGACCCTGTATCAAGCTCTATTTTCAGTGGTGTTCCTGCTACGTCCACATTTGCATACAGAGTTTTATATAACTTCTTCTAGCTTTTTGGTTCTGAAAATCATTGCCTGTGCACCCTTCCTGATCCTATATTTTCCTATATTTAGAACTTGCACAGCCTATATTTCCTATCAAATTTGTC